TATGCACTGGATTTCATGCTGGAAGGATGCCTCTTTTCCACTTAACATGCCAGGAAATGGAGTTGTATGTTAGGTGCAGGGTTCATCCATTTTGCTTCTATGTTCCGTCAGCAGAGCTCTTCAGTCTGTGTTGAAAGCATAGACCAGAGAAAAACATTAGGAAATCGAGTCCCAGAAGGATATTTTTTTCTTCTCAGCTCCCAAGGGACACATTCACTGGGTAAACAAGCATTCATCCATCTGAATGAAAAACTTCAGCAAATCAAATCCACATCAACCTTTCAATGTTGTGCAGAAAGGAGGAAAAAAGGAACAACACTGAAAGGTGAAAGACCAGTAAAAATGAAACGCACCAGTGGTGTAGCCTGCTACCAGCTGGCTCTCAGAGCCATTCAGAGTCTTTTGTAAGGGCCATGGTGTACCCATCACGGAGAGGGAGTGTCTGTTAGGGAAGCACTGGTTTCTGTAGGCCTGGAGTCAGAAAAACTGCTTTATTCTGAGTGAATAATTACAGGAGGAGCATTGAGGTTACTCTGAATTAGTGAATGTGATATGATCTCTAGGGTACATCGCAGGAAAGGTTCACTCTGGATAGAAGAATGACCCTGAAGCCACTGTGCAGTTACAGAAATATTTGACTTTATACCTGCATATGATGTAGAACATCTGTACAGAATGAGTGCACTCGTCAGTTTTTTTGGTGGTTTTTTTTTTTGGGAGGGGGGCTGTTTTGTTTTGTTTTTTTCATTAAATACATCTTTGTGGTTAGGTTGCAAAGGATAGTTCCCTAGGGAACCAAGCTATAACTTAAATTTTTATTACCCTTCAAGCAATAGCTTCCAGGGATGTTTCAGGTTGTTAAACGTTTGCTATGGATTTTTCCTATTGAGCTGTGTGGCATTTAGCAGCTCTGTTTTATATGGCAGCATAAAAGTACACAAATACCCTCTTATCAGGTAAGAAGAAACAATTCCTTCTCCAGTGTTAACACGTTTCTGGGGAATGACTAAATGATGAAGCCTTGCCTGCGAGAACAGAATTTGACATCTTTCAGCCTTGGGATATATTATAGAATGAAAGCATTGGCTTTCTGCTTGTGTATTACCAGATTTAGAGCTAGAATTGCAGCTGTTAGTCCCATTGGGTACGAAATTTGCCACTTAAAAGAATCCTCTAGCACCTATGCTACTGTCTGCTGTGAAGGACTCCGCTACCATATTTCCTCCTGCCCTTGAAGAGCAAGGTACTGTACTGTCTAGAAGATCCACTGTCCAGGCATAATCCAGTCTAAGCATATCTTGCCTTCTAATTTTACTATGCAAGAGTGACATTATAGATACTTACTGTTAGCAGAATGTCCTCTGAAACTCAACCTTTTCTATGTTATGGATTGGTTTTCTAAATCTGAAGGATTAAGTTGTCTTAATTTTCAGAAGTACTGAGAGCAGTGTTTGACATTCTTCAGAAAACAACCTGTTCGTAGGGATTTTCAAGCACCTTGGTGGCTGCTTTTATGGATATTACTTAACAGAAAATTGTTATTGTAAGCCTAAGCTCCTCCATTTCAATTAAAAAGGTGAACTATAGAGAAAAGTGGAATTATGTTTATACTTTATAATAAGCCTGTGAAATACCGTCTCGGTTCATCAGGACCCCATTAGCTGTATACTTCGCTGTGCATTTCTTAGTAACAAGTCATTGAACAATTCACTGTTTGTTCCTACCATAGGATTTTTGACTGCATCATTGCACCTATAAAGATTTTATTTTGTCTGTACTCTTCATATTTGTTTAATATTAATGCTTAGAGAAAATTTAGTTTTTATGACTTCATAATTCAGTGAAACAAAGGACTTAGGAGTACTTCATCTTCTAATAAAATGGTTAAAAGGTGTTAACTCCTTATTTCTAATCTTTCTATGTCTGTTTTGTCTGAAAGGTGTTTATGCAGGCATTATTATAGACTTTTATAAGCAATTGAATATTCAGTCCTCTAAAAACTTACTGTTAAAATCAGCACTTTTAACTGTTTTTTTACTTTGCTTTTTCCTTAAGCCTGGGTGGGTATGCAGTCTGCTCCTGTGTCGTGTGACACGCATCAAGTAAAAGAAATATTTCTTCATGAAACCAAATTAATACTGCCTTAGAAATTTTAATTCATTTTTACTTCAAATATTGCATCAGTATTACTGATAAATATTAAACAGACTTATGGGAGTTTACCTGGTCATCTTTGCTATTTTTTTTCTGTTTTCCTGTTGTTTTTTTCTTCCACAGTATATTTAACCTCATAACAATTCAAAACAAATACTATGAAAGCTATTAAACTATGAAAGCTATTAAACTATGAAGTTATAGGGCTGTAAAAAAACCAAGTTGCTTGCAACAGAGCATGACAGATATTCATAAGTATTGTGATTTTCATGATACAAACAACACTAGTAGTAGTGACCTCCACCCTACTGTCCATCTATGGCAAAGTAAAAAACCAAACAAAAATATTACCCTTATTGCAGATTTGAGGGGGGTTTTTTTTTGAAGTGAAATGGTCTTTCTGAAGTGAAAATATTAGTCACTTTACAAAAATTAAAACACATTGTGTTTTTAATAAAGCAAAAGCAAAAACCTTAAGTCCTACAATCAAATTTATTCAGTCTTACCTTGTACAAAATTAGCCAGGAGACGGCAGCATAATAAAAATAAATAGAGTGCCATTGTCCTTCAGCAGAATTCAGACAGCATTCTTCACTCTGTCGCTTGTGTGGAGATCTCACGTAAGTGAAAGGGGTTAAACATTAACGAGAATGTTTTCATTTAGACTTCGTCTGGTTTCCCGCAATGCTTAGCATATTTATTCTGCAGTAATGCTGTTTAGCTTCAGAAATGTCCTCTGCTGCACCATAATGAGAGAAAACTTGAGCTTTTCCAAATTTCTCTTGCCACTCCTTCTGCGACAGCCTTTAAAGGACGAAATCAGACTTTCAAATATGTGGAGTCCATTGCTGATGATTATAAATAGTATTGCTTTACCTCAGAGGCTTTAACCTCTGCACTGCTCACCGAGCATGCTGGATGATGAGAACTGGAAAGGAAACAACCCTCTCCTCCTCCTCCTCCTTCTCCCCCGGCTCTTAACTGTTTACCTGCTGAAACTTTCCAATTTGTAGCAAATAAGTAGCAAGGAATTGCCTCTGGTCATTTCTAGTAGCTGGAATCTTAAAAGATAATAAATGAAATATCTCCTTACGGAACTGAATGTTTACTGTGTTACTACTTTTATAAAGATTCTTGGGGTTTTTAATAAGTTGAAAAACTAACAACTTAAATTGACTGGAATTAGCAAGCTTTGGGGTGCTAGAAGTGTGTAAGAAGGTTGATGTATTTTGGATATGTTCAGATAAAAATAGCATGTTGGTCAGAAATGAACGGAGAGAAAATCTCAAAGTAAATTAAGGCACAGCTGCAGATATGGCAGGTATAAAATTATCATTGACTTAAAGGGAAGCTCTGTAAATAGAGGCTTCAGCTTTGACAGTATTTTTGTAGTAGGTGCTACAACTTCTGAGTGAAAGTTCATGTTCTGTGCATTAGTATGTAGGAGACTTTCCACTCTTCTCCAGTTGTCATTTACTCTTTTCCCCATGGTGTGTCTGAGTAGGGTGGCAGTGTCAAAAATTGTGTTCATCAAATCCTCCACTACTGAACTTCTGATGAATAAACCTCTGGAAGAGTATCTCTCTTAAAACATGTTTTTAGTTAAGTGTTACAAGAGACAATAATCTTTAATAAATGAGCTTGTGGAGCTGGTAAATGAATGGTGATACGATCCTTGGTTAATAGGATGTGTGTTCAGTCCTCTTTCAAGATTCTACCTTGTTTAAAGAGAGACAGTCAGGTTGTGG